TGCCGGCCAAGTGCTAAATTCTCATTGTGTGAATATTAATAACAATCATTTCTAATAAACAATAAAGATTCTGCTTATCTCGAGCTCGAAGACAACTTTACTTTATTCGCATTTAAATGTTTCTGCCATTGTCTCTGGCTTTCTGGCCAAAGGAGGAGTGGAAGAAGGTGGCTAGCCAAGGAGGGACTAAGCCAGTCAATGGCATTACTGTCCCCAGCTTTGCTGGTACAGTAAATAATGCTTAAGCACTGATCCCTGTTTACGCATGCAAATCGTGAAAGTTTTCCCCCGATCGACCCCATTAAGTATGATGCGTCCAATATGCTTTTGGTTTCGATAGCTTCTGATTTCTGGGGCTCTTAGGTGGCGCCCACTGTGCCCTGTAATTGCTATGGAAAATTGAATTTCCACGGAGACAACGCCCTGACAACACTGTGGTCATCTAGAAGCCGGCTCTTATTCCTTCGTCCTTCGTCCTCTGCCTCCCAGCCTCCTTGTCCTGGCATTAGGATTAATCAGTAGACTTGACATTTAATTGTTGCTCTCAAAGGGCGGCCGTCGAAAAAGGGCAAAAGGGGGTCCTCGAGGGTCTGGCTAGGTAGTTCATCATTTTCACAGACCAGAGGCGTAGTCTTGAGTATACCTTGGCTGGTAGGAGTTACTAAAGAGTAAGCTGGCTAAGTGGTAATTTTTAATAATAAGTGTTAATGGTAAAAAATTGCTTACTTTGGGTTTATTGTGAAAAATGTTATTTAAAGTTTTGTAGGTTATGGTGTTAAAACGGTTGACGTAACTAAAGTCCAAGAAAAATAAAGTTCATTAATCAATAACATTTTTTTATAATTTTTAAACCTGGTAGCAATTGTGGAAGCTTTTTTCGCAATTTATATTAAAAACGGGTTTTTAAGTTAAGGGGAAACTAAAAGCTAGATGAGTTTCGGGTATGGTATAGTCTTTTTGATTATCATAAATAGTATATATACCATAAATAAGTTCAGTAATTATTGAAAATATTTAAAATTTTTTTATTTTGTAATTGTATACTTATTATTTAAATATTGTGACCTTTTAAAATATTTATAGAGAAATAGGTATTTACGTTTAAGTTTCTTACATTTTAGTTTCCAACCCATTGAAGCTTCTTATTGAAAAAGTTACCTTTATTAGGTCACATTTTTTTCCAGTGTATTTGTGGGTGTTTTGGGGAATTCGTTACTGAACGATGGCCTGTGCATTTGGCAGACTTGGGCTTTATGTGCATTCTGTGTGCGCATGTTAATTGCATGGGATCGAGGCAACGACAGCAGGCCCGCAGCAACATCTTTCAATTTGTCTTTTACAATGTGATTTATATGCTAACAGGGAGTGGCCAATTTGTTGTAGTAGAAGGAAGTTTTTCCATCCATTGTTCATGTTATCCTGGCTGCTGCCCGTGTCAACTTGAAGGCATTTTTTTAGGTGTTTGATTGTGTGAGTGTATGTACATATGAGTGTTGGGGTTTCCGGTTTTGTTTTCGTTTGCCGTAGTACGGGTATTTGTTCGACTGCTGCGTGTGCATGCAAATGACTTGTCAGCTGACAAGCAAAATTGCTGACCATGTAGCAGAGTGTATATGCGTACGTGTGTCTGTATGTGTTTCTGTGGGAATTGTGTATCTTGCCAAACCAAAATTTGCACATAAAGTATCTCTGACAGCAAAGTTTTCACTTGTAAACTTGCACGCAACACCCTCTATCTCCGACTCTGTGTCTTTCTGGTGTTTTTGCGGTTTTCCCTGCAAGTGCGTTGAAATAAATTTGACTTAGGAAACAACAGTAATAGCAATGACTCAATTAAACACGCACAGGCACACAGACACTTTAAGGACACGCCTCCCGACCCTCCCTACTCTGACATCTATTTTCTACATCCTTCAGGCATCATTTCTCACTCGGTTGTTGACAATTTAAATCGACTTTTCTTGCATTTAAGCCGCTCTACGGTGGCACACACGCCCCTTCCGAAGTTGTTTATTTGTTTATTGATTTCCATCAACCAGCCAACCATCCGCCGAACCAGCCCGATCATCTCACGGTATTTTTATCGACACTTTGCCAAGCAAAATAATCAACGTGGACGTTTTTTCTGCCATTTTCCCTGTCACTTGGCGCCGGCTCTTTCTGCGTGTGGCCTGCAATTGGAGGTGACACTGAAATTTGCATAATTCTGTTGTCACATGTCGCATACGCCAAATATGATAGCCACAAGGGGTAATCGAAAAAAAATAAAATACGAAAATATCAGCCACAGAGGCGATCCAATTGACAATTGGCAGCCCAATGCGTTGGGAAAGTCCTCGGAAGGGCTTTAAAAATCTGGAATTCAGTACTTTATTTCTTTTAAGATGCAAAAGCTTCAGGCTTCTATTAAATAAAGAAATATTGTCATTTCCTATTAAAAAAAATATACTATTTGCTTTATTTGAAAGTAAATGAGCTTGTTTTCTGGGAAAAATTGATGTCTCTCCTCGGGCAACTACTCCCAGCACCAGCCCTGACTTTAATGGCCTTTTAAATTCGTAGGCCGTTTTGGCAGGGCCATTATTAAATTGTACTTTATAGATACACGATACCCTTAACTTTTGCTGACTCAACAGTTCAATTGAATTTTATGTTGTTGCTTCAAGTTGGCCGCACTTGTCGCCTTCGCGGCCTTCATGGCTTTTGACTATGAAATCTAGATTACAACTTTTGGCAACAACTTGTGGCAAACATAATTACAAGCTGCCAAATGACAACCATAACATTAACAGCCAGCAACAACACAAGAAGCAAGGATGTCGACAAACGACTGACTGACTCAGGGACTGACTGGCAGGATGACTGACAGAAGAGTGGCAATGTCCTGGCAACGCTCGTCTTTGTTGTCCTGTTCCCATAATGAAGCCATAAATTTCAAAAGCAAAGGAGATTAGCGAAAGTGGTCGCCGTCTGTCAGCCAGTCCCGAATGTCAGCCAGTCTCAGCCAAGTATGTATTTATTTATATTGCCACCGAATTTAAGGCAATTATTTAGACGTCACTGGGCGTTGGCAATGGGAAACTATGGCAAAAGTTAATGCACTTTCGATGCTGACAGGACCTTGGTAGTTGGCTGGAATAGCACTTGCCAGCATTTATTATTTACTCTTGTAAATAAATATGGCTGTTTGGATGTGTGAGCATCGGAGGGGCTGGTCACTTGCCAGCGAGAATTGCACATACATTCGCATTTACACTCCAGTTAACACCCCAGGGACACTTTCCTGGCACTAGCAATTTTGCACAGAGAAAGAATAGCAGTCTGATCTCGAAATTTCATCTGAATTATAACAATTGAATTACAAATAAGATAATAAATTAATTTAAAAGTAATTAATATTTTCCAAAGGGTATAAAGAGATAGTTATAGGAATTAAAGTTAATTTAAATTATGTTTCATTATGTATAATAATCCCAACTTTCCCAAGTTTGGAAAGCATTGTAGTTGACTTTCGTCATTGCTCTCGATTACTCACTATAAAGACTGAAATTCGAAATACAAGTTTGGGAATATGAAATTCATAAAATGATTCAGTAGAAACATACATTTTATTCTTTTCAATAATTGACTAATAATTATCAATTATATTTATGGAACAAAAATCGTTCTTACTTTGGTATACTGGTATAAGAAAACCAGAAAGGCATTCACAAAAAGCTTTCATAAATAAAAAAACAGATTTAATCTTTTTTGAAAAATGAATCAGAGCCTAAGACGTATTTTATTTTAGAAATTAAGAATACTTAATTGTTTAATTGGCATCCAATGTACAATCTTTACTAAGAAAATAAAAACTCTAATCGTTTATAATGGATTAACTCTGCTCGGTTCGTCGTATTTCATTTTAAAACGATATACATTTAGAAAATGTTGTACTATTTGGTACTACTTACACTTTCTCTTTTATAATAAAACCCATTTAGATATATTTTCCGTGTACTTCTTTCTGGCAAAGCATCTACGCAATTTTACAAATGCCACGTTGCACTTTTCCGCCTCACACATGTAGATGTACTGGCACTCTTGTGCAGTTTATATAGATTATATACATGGATTTGTAAAGCAAATTTGTATTTATGTTGATGGCAAGGCACCCATGACATTCGCTCTGGCCCTGGGACTTGGGGCTTGGGACTCTCAGTTTTCCGATCTCCCGACTCCTTCCGACCACCGACTACTGGGTGTACTGCTGGGTAGTGACTCCTGACTCGCAGCACATTATGTGCCCCATTTAATGCCAGTGTGTGTGGCACACACAGTACAACACCCACTTGCACGCCCAGTGAACGTCAAGTGGCAATTTACATTAGTTTTATTGTATACGAAATTAGCAGCATTTAGCATTTAGCAGAAGATTCAGTTCCAGGCCCTGGCCTGGCAGAAGTTTTGCCTTTCGGCTTTTCGTGTGTGTGCGAGATTTGTTTGCTCCTTTGGCTGCACTGTCGCACTCGGCATATCAATTTTCCCCCCAGCCTGCCCATCAGGATGTGCCAAGGTGGGCGGCAGGCTGGCAACATCAAATCGATTTTGTTAATGAAAACGAAGGAAAACTTCAAGGGAAAACCAATCCAGCCCATGGGAGTGGCCGGCAAGACTGTATGGATTGTAGCAAAAGTTTGACGTTTGTTAGAGAGTGTAACAATGGCCAATCTGCATGGTAATGGCATTCCCGAAGGTTTATTATCCAACCAAAGAGATTTCTATTTATTCCAAGGTTATTTTTGCCAAAGAAGAAAGTCTTTAGTTTGTGTGTGTAGTTTTATTTTTATAATTCCCCTCCAAAAAGTTGTGGTTATGAAAAACTGGAAAATACAGAACATGAACATAAACATTTAACAATTTAAGCTCGACCTTGCCTAATATTACGCCCAGGGACCAAACAGAAAAACCTAAAAATTTAGAAAAACCTTTGATCGAAAAAAACTGCTCCATATACCAAGTACCCCATATAACCCATTCCTTAACCCTAACTTAGACCACATGACATTCGTTAACCAGAACCACCTCGTCGTCGACCATGTCTCCATCGCGGTTTGGATGAATTTCATGGTGAATGGGGCAGCTGACCAATAGCTCGTCCTGCACCTCGTTTGGGATGAACATGTCCTTCTTGTACTCCTCCTTCTTGGTTTTCTTTCCATTAAGTTTGTCCTTGGCATTTCTCTTAGGCTCCATCTCCTTCTCGTGCTCGAGCTCCAGGTGATCTCCCAGGAGGTGCTCCAGGACCAGGTCCTGGTTGTTGCGCAAGGCTACGTCCATTGCTCCGTCGAGGAACTGGTAAAGAGGCGAGTTCATCCTGTTGCGTGGTTCCTTTGGTGGCTCCACCACCATGTCGTTACCCTCAAGAGCAGGCTGCAAGAGCTGCTGCAGCATGTACAGCATTGGCGGCAGGGCCTGCGAAGACTTGTGCTTATGGTGATGCTTTGAGCCACCAGAGTGGGCGTGTGGTACGTTCTCCGCTGCATTCAGCAGGAGCACTCCGGCCAGCTCAGGCGGCAGCACCTCTGGTCCGTAGTTCATCTCCTGTTGCACACTCTCGATCACCATGTTGGGAGCCAGCAGCTCGAACTCTTTCACTTCGTGTTGGCCGTCCGGCGAGACCATCTTGTTGTAGTAGACAAAGGGCGATGGTGGCGGAGAGGGGGACATAGGCGCATCCAGGGGGACAGCAAGTGGAGTGCCATGGGCAACCGCGCCTGCGTCTGCCACACCCTGGTGGCGACGCTTGTGGTGGGGCTTGCGTGGCTCGTCCAGCTCCATGCGGCGCTTTGGGCGATGCAGCTCGACCTTTCCAGAGGCCCTGGTCTTGTTCACAGGGACGATTTTGATCGGCACCGCTGTGGCGATCTTTGGAGTAGTGGAGTTGTCATCCTTTGACATGATGGTAGTGGTTGAGTTGATAGCAACCGCTTGAATGGTCTCTACCTTCGGTGGCTCTGTGGTAAGAGCGGCAGTGGTAAGAGCGACAGTGGTCTGGTTGCATGTAGATGCGTTCTGAGAACGCTGCAATGTCAGGCACTGACCGGGAAAGGGGCTCATCGTTACCAAGACGATACCTGTTATGAAAATAAATCCAGCATTTGGGATGAATTATCGAGAATGTACTTACTAACTAATAACACCAGCATTTTATTAATATCAGCCATTGTTACAGGACTATTTGCGGTTTATTTGCTTCTTGAAAGGCTTTTGGAAGGCAGCAATCTGCAGGATCAAAAAGAATTGAAAAGGTTAACCGAAAGCTCACAAAAACTATTTTCACTTTCTTTTTTTTTTCACTTTTTTTTTATTTCATTTTTATGAAATTTTATTTTTTTTACTTATGAAATTTTACTTTTTTATATATTTTTTTTCATTTTTTTTTTGTTTTTTTTTTCAGATTTTTAAACTTACTTTTTTTTGGAGGGGGATGTGTGCTCGGCACAAGGTTTCTATTTCGAATGACTAGAAACGTTTCCGGCCTTAGGGCTATGCTTTGACAGACAGCTGGGAGTTGGCAAAAGGTTACTATGACCCGGGCTAAAAAAAATGGTATTTCAATATTTTTCTGATTGGAAATTTACCATGCACACAGTCACACTCACAGCTGTGGCGACCTTTTCAAGTGCTGCAAATGGCAGCCACAAAAAACCGCACACCAAACCAACGAAAAAAAAGTTTGTTTCGTGAGCCGCAAACAAAAGCAAACAGTGGAAAAAGTTTAGCTTATAAATTTCCAATCAATTTTTCGTGCAAAAATCAAGAGCTCCTGGTAGCGGCAACCCACCACCCACCAATAATAACGACACACACGCACACCCACATATCGGGCGGCAGGAGGAGACTCAAGTGTTCGATAGCTATTACTTGATTAATAAATATTAGCAGCAAAAATTGGAAAACTCTCAGCGAAGCGTAAAAGTGCAAACATTGAAACGGAAAACGGGAAACGGAAATGCGATACATTTGCGAAATGGCTGAAGAATTTTCCAAATAAACCCAGACACCGGGCCCACACTAACATATTCGTGCATACGCACTTGTAAACACTCTGGAATCCCCCATTACTCTGTCTAATTTTGATACCCAGTAGTGCTCAGGTGTGTGTTTGTTTTAAGAAAGTTAAAAAACTAAGCAGGCATTCTTTAAGGAAATACAAACATCTGCTTACTTTGATGGAATTTTAAAATATAATCAAGCTATTAGTCTATGCCTATATGGGATTAATATTTAATACTTTATTTTGAAAGACTTATTGTTATCAGAATTCTTCAACCCATTTTGTATTAAGTTTTTAGGATTTTCACCATTTAGTTGGTGATGGAAGCATTGTAACGAATTTTAATATTAACAATTATAATATAATATCAAGGAAAAATGAGTTAAACTCATCCCATCAATTAAGGGATACTTTACCTTCGAATCCCATTAAAATGTCTCTGATTTCGCTTTTCCAGCCGCCTTCGGCCTGGGGCATTAATAATGTAAAGTGCGTGCGTCAAATGTAAATTCCTGGCTGGCAGCTCACGCCATTTCATAAACTTGCGACATTTTGAACAAACAATTTTTTCTGCCGCACCACGCCGTTCTGTCGATACGTGTGGCATACTTCAAGGCGACTTAACGCTCAGGTGAGAGGCGCAGGCGGGAACTTAACCAGGACACGCTGCTGGAGGGGCGAGGGCACTTTTGCTTATCAGCTTAAATGTAAATGCCAAGCGAGTGCAGCAAGGAACGGGGCAAGGAATTGGAAGGGTCTAAGAGACTGGCGGCATGGGGCAGGGACAGCAGCTGTTGCTGCATTGGGGATTTGCACATTTATACTCGCATATTGCTGAAGCTCCCGCCCCCACACCCACTCCATTCTCTGACCATCCTCTTATCTCGATTCACGATTTTTTCGAGATGATTTTCCAAGTGTATTGAATAAAAGTCGATTTTCCCCCACTGGCTTTGCGCGCTCGACAAGCGGCTTAAATACGTTTGGGTAATATACTCACCCATGTCCTGTATCCTTTCTGCATATGTCTGGGTTATGACTCCGCAATGGGTGTGAGCGTGTCTCTTTTCGCCTTTGATGTACAGGTCGTGGCTTATAAAGGGTCCGAACCCTTCTCCGGAGTGCATCACCATCATCTCGATGGGATTTACACGCAGACACGGGGCTCCCCTGACGATCGACTACAATTCAACCCCAATCGCTTAGAATGCCACCCAATGAGCACTGTAACTAAAAATATTATGAATATTTTGTACTCTACACTATATTACTATAAGGTAGTAATATATAGAAGGCTCCTATAGTCTTTCCTAGTCTTAACCAAATAACACTTAGCAACAATACATGGTACTTCTCTTGACACAAAAAAGGCAAGGGACACGAAAGGCAATTCATTTTAAATTTTATATTATATTTATTTATATTTTAACTTTTTTGATTTTTAGTTTTTATTTAATAAATTCAGATAAGGGCTTTGAAAACATAAACTAAGTTTTCAGATTAGGGTTTTGAAACCATAAACTAAGTTTTCAGATTTTTCCCTGTGCACCTCAAGTAGTAGGAGGCTTCGAGTTCTCTAGTTTTGAATTTGATTTGCTTTGGCAGACTGGCTTTAGCCAGGACTGTTGGGCTTTGATCTTGGCCAAAATCAGAAACAAAGGCGTTTATTAAATGTTTCGCTTTCGATGCTGGGAATTTGGAGAAAGGTGGGAGTAGGTGGAACCGCGTGGTGGAGCGAGTGTCTTTGTAAAGTTTCATTAGTTGGCTCGTTAATATTCCAATTGTTGACACACAAAAGGAAGGCGATGGAGGTTACTGGCTTAACCTGTGTATAAAGGAATTTAATTAATAACGTCCTTGGTCCTTTTGCGTGTGCAGTGCGGCGTAAACTTAATTAAATGCGCGAGTGGCAAGTAGCGAGTGGCAAATGACAAGTGGCGATGCAGGAACAGGAGCCAAGTAGTCAGGGGAGCCAAGGAAACTCAGCTCAAAAAGTGGCAACACCTGGCCTGGTTCGGGCCAAGTTTCCAGAGTCGGTATGGTAGTTTCAATCGTAAAAAACTCCGTCCTGTGTCACATGTCAAAAATTTTATTGGCCCAAACGTTTGACTGCTGCTCTGGCACTTTTACGGGCCCAGTTAATAGTGAAAAATGATGCAACAAAAGTAGAAATGATGGCCGACGCTTAGACAAAACCAGATGGAAATGGGGGTCGGAGTTTCGAGAGTTTGCATAGTTTCCAGAAAGTCGAGTGGTGAAGGGCTTGAGCTTCCTTTTTGGCCATAAAACAACGAGTTGTGGTTCAGCGACTTTAATGCGTTTTCATGTTTACGAGTTTAGTGCGCCGGGTTTATAACCTGTAACCGGGAGTGCGGGTGTTTATTAAGTTCCAAGGGCCAAGTGCATCAAATATGCAAAACCTCTAGACTTAATCATATTTCTTAGATCAGCGAGAAGATGTACATATATATTTTTTAAGATTATAGTATACTTAAGCTAGTGCTATTAGGAGGATTAGTAATAATTTTTTGCGGTAAGTCTTGTCGGATTTTATGGATTTCACAAAAGACCTGTGTTTTTTCAGCTTGCCAGTAAAGTTTGTGAATTTTTTCAATAAGATTTCGTACTTTGAAGAACATGGCGACACATATGTAGCTTTAAGCTCACCCCAGTCTCTATGACTTTTTAAAAGGTATTGCATGCCCTGCATGTGAAATACCTAACTTACGGCTTCGGGCCCCAAACTTTACTCGAGGGACTGGGCAATCGATGAAATGCACTGACGTTTCAGACACTTTCCCCGGTACCCACTTGACAGACGACAAAAGGCAGCCACGCCCCGCTCAACCCGAAATTCTAAATCAATTTCAGTCGAACGCCTTTCGCCGTTCTCGGCCGCCTGCCCCAGTCATTGATTTATAGTCCACGTCCAAACAACATACAAGTGTAAGTGGAAAAGCCGAAATTCGGGCGAATTATATTTCAATTTGGCAGCGAAAATGAAACAGAGCAATACAAAAGGGGCTGCCCCGAAGAAGGAGGGGCCTGGCGGTGGCCGTGTTAAAAACTTTTTTGACAATTGACTTAAAAAGTTTTCTCAAGCTGGCAGAAATTGACTGCCTTTTGTATACAAATAGGCCGAAATCAGACACTCACACACATACACCTAGTGGACGGGAGGAGAGTCCTTGAGGGGTGGTGGATCGGAGGGCCATGGAGCGGAAGTAAACACATAAAACGGAAATGAAAATTCAATTATTTCGTTACGATTGTTCAACTTTTTGTTGTTTTCGGGACGAGAGTGTGCGAGTGTGTGTCTGTTCCCATTTCAGAGAAGGGCAGAAAAAGTTTAAAATTAAGTTAACGTGCAACTCGGTTCGTGGGTCAGCGCATGCAATTCGGCGCCCGTTTTGGCCAAATTCAATTTTTGCCGCCTGCCTGCTTGCCACATATATATTTTTTGTTCCTCTTTTTCCATTTTGACATATGACTGGAAGCGGAGCGGAAGCGCCGCACATTTAAATGCGATTCTCAACAGTTTTGGTTCACGCACAATTGGCCTGTCGAATCGATTTGGCCAAAAACTAGAGGGGGTGGAGAGGACTTAGTCGACTGTGTGATACCTGGTAGTTTGAGGGAAGGGGCCTTTATTCTGTATAATTTCGTTGTTAATCATTTAACGTATATGCCCCCGTACTGTCATACCCTGTAGCTACCGCTTAAAAAATGCCTTTACTCCAAATCCAGTTAGTTGGATGCCACCATGGCGAGAACAGAAACTGTATTTCTCGCCCTCATTGCCGGATTGGGAATTCTGGTAACTCTCGTCACATATTACAGCCTCTATCAGGACCTGGAAGCTATGCGTTGGCGCCTAAAGGTATTATCCCTGACGGTCAAGGACACTTTTGGACAGCCCATTAGCCTCAGCCAATTTGCGGGCCAAGTGCTGCTGGTCGTGAATATAGCTTCCAGGTGGATGCAATCATTAAATTTTAAACTCAAATAATAATAGTATTCTATCAGATGCGGATTAACCTCTTCACAATATGCTGGCCTACACGAACTTAGGGAAAAGTATGAGAAACGCGGCCTAACAATCCTGAACTTCCCTTGCAACCAATTCGGAGCACAGATGCCGGAGGCCGATGGCCAGGAAATGCTAGAACATCTCCGCCAAAAGGAAGCCAATATAGGACATATTTTTGCAAAAATCAAAGTAAACGGACGCAGTGCAGATCCTCTCTATAAGCTTCTAACCCGACAGGCACCGGCGATAGAGTGGAATTTTGTCAAGTTTCTGATCGATCGGAGGGGAAATATCCGGGGCCGCTATGGCGCGGAAAAGGAGCCAGCTTTCCTGGCAAATGACATTGAGAGGTTGCTGCTGGAAGCCAAATAAATATGAGAAACAGCAGCGTTTTTACCCCCACGCCCGCTGGCATAAATGTGACAACGTCATGCGTTATCGTTGGGGATTACTGGTGACGGTCGCCGGGCATGTCAGGCGATTTCTTTTCGAAACTCTTACCTGTGTTTCGCCTCTTCTGTTTCATCGCCTCACCTGTCACCTCGCCGCTGACTCCTGTCAGTTGCAAATGGCCAAATGACCTTTTGGTCTGCTGCACTTGTCACTTCGCTTTATCAAAATGCAGTTACCACTGCAGCTTGGCTCACGTCACATCAAACATCTACCCCGTGGCCCATGGCGGCCAACCAGCTCCTGAAAGCCAATCGAATGCTTTGTGTCCTTGGTTGGTCCCTCTGCAGGAATCTCTGAACGAGAGAAAGAACATTACAATTTCTTTGAAACGAAACTTCTTTTTTGTCTCCCAGCTGAACGTGATCTGAAAACCTGTTGAGAATCAGAAGAGTCTTCTTTTGTGAGAAAAGCTTCAAGACTTTGTTAATTTTAATAAATGGATTTCAAAAGTTGCAACAAAAGGAAATTTCTTATATCCTTCTACTTCTTTTGTTGTTAAAAATAATTAAATTATTGTGCCAGGCTCAGCTCTTGTCCCAAAAATGCCAAAAATTTATCAGAAAACATCGACACCACTGCGTATGAGTAATATTGTAATTATAACAAAGCATTATTTCACACAATATTATTTCAACTTAAACTCTTTCTCTAAAAAGTGGCTTTAATATCTAAAACCTAAATCCTTATCTCAAAAATGCAAAATATTTTCCAGAAAAAAAAAACCAAAAATACAGAAAATATGTGTGTTAAAATGCCAAAAAATTGTGGAAACTCGGAATGCAGTTAGGCCAGGTTGAAACGGAATTGGGCTGGCCAGGACAACTTCCTGCTGCATTCCCCTCGGCTCGACTCGGCTCGGCTCTGCTTCCCTCTATCCGTTTGCCAAAACCGCAAAGGATCCTGACTCCGGGCGAGTGGTGGCTTCTGTTTCTGGCTCGGTTCCTGCTATTCTCCGTTTTCTGTTTTGGTAGCCACTCCTTGTTGGCATGCAAACAAGCTTTCTGCCTCCACCGGCTCTTCCAGCTCCTCCAGATCCCCTGGCTGCTCTGGCTCCTCGGCCTGGCTGCTTGCAACATAAAAACGTGCCTGCACATTTGCCACATGCCTCTGCACGAGTTTGCGTGTATGTGTGAGGGCGTTCAACGTTGACAGTAACCGAAATTGCCACAATTTGCGGCTGTGTACAATTTGGCCACTCATCAATCTGTGCGCATGTTAAACAAAAAACCATTACAAACAAGTCTGACAATATCATGAAAAGAGTGGCAAGAAAGGGGGGCGGCACAAGGGGGTGTTCAGCATACACTTCCGGTTACGCACACATTTTCTTTCCGTTTTTTGCCCTCCACATAAAATAGTTTTTTTTTTCCCTGGTTTTTATTTAAGAGGCAGCATCAGTTGGGTAATTTTATTTGATGAGGACATTACTTTTGCATTTTGCATGCCGGCTGCGGCTGCCGACTGCCGACTAGCGTCTACTGGCTGCTGGCTGACAAGGCGTATGCGTAATAAGCTTCAAATGGAAAGCCCCTCGACCAATTTAATTTTTCAAGAGAAATGGGTTCCTCAACCCCGTCGCCGCTGTCGCCGAAGTCGAGGAGAACCCTTCGCGAAAAAGTTGGTTTGTTAGTTGGTTTGGCATTTCAGTTCGGTTGCCTGAGTTGAAACTTAATTAACATTTGATTGATAAAGGTAGCACACCCCCCGTGTGTGTGTGAGTGCGTGTTGTCTGCATGCAAATGAAAATTTTCAATGCCGACGGCGCATTCTCCATTCTCCGGTGATTATTTATGCCTGTGTGTGCGAGTGCGTGCTCCAAATTTTAATTAGTATTATAAATTATTGCCAACGGTGTAGTAATTAAATGTGTGCGGCACCGGGGCAGATAAAGCTAAATATTAGCCAATTAAACTTGTATGACAGGCAGGAGATCTGAACCCCTTTATCTCCGGCAAAGGGGTCTGATTTGGGGGAACTGGCAAAATATTTCGTTTAAATTTGCATGCTGAAATCACCGAAATTTAGTGGCATTTTCCATTGATTCGCTTTTGATTTGATTTGGTCAACGTCAATTGAATTTGGCGACTTGGTCCTTTTCTCCTCATCCTGGCTAAGCAGCTTAGACCCCCCCGCCCCTTTCTGTAGAGCCCTCTTTGTCGCATATGTGTCTGCTGTAGCTGCTGCTGTAGTGGGAATTGCAATTTTCTTATCGTTTCTGCAGTCTATTTTTCTCTTTTTTGCATGCCAGTCAAATGCAAATGGCAAATCGCAAATGGCAGATGGCAGAGAGCGTGCAAAAAAGGGAGCTCGGATGGCACAAAGGCCACAAGAAAGCCATGGAGAACTGAATTCAATTTGTGCACTGAAAATACTGCAAAATGAACAAAGTCTCGGCACGGAGTGGAGTGTAATGGTGAAAGTGAAAGTGGAGGACAAAAAAAGAGACAAAGGGACAAGCCAACCTGATCTGGATAAGCAATGTGAATTCAAGGCTCGATTTCAATCATCATTTGACTCACTTTATCATATTAAAAATTTATTGATATTCGCCCAAAAGACCCATAAAATACTTCAACACATTTTCCCCTCACAAGAAACAAAAAAAAAAAAAAAGCACAAGAAGACCCAAAATCGAAGCAGAAACGTAGAAGAAGAAAATTCAATAAATTGCTTGGCTCGACATAAAATAATGCTGCATTATAGACTTAGCCGCTCGCGGGCAAGTAACCGCCAAATGTTGCCCTGGAGAGCAACCAGCAAACACAACAATAATGACAACAGCAACACCAACAACAATGGCTACAACAACAGCGACAGGAAAGTACAGCGTAAAATCGTAAAACATACAACAACCTTGACTGTCTATATCCTTGAAAAGGATACATGCGAGCGCCCTTGACGTTGCTACCTATGGCATTGTGTTTTTCACTTTTTTTACATCAACCCTATGTTGAAATTGGAAAGAAAAATATATTTAATATTTTAAATAATTATTCTAAACATAAAATAATCGAATAGGGGAAAAAGAAAGTAAATAAACAGTTTAAATAATAAAATGATGCATGAAATATAAACATTTATTAAAAAACCTACAAATCATGGCTTCATTTAAAAAGCAAATATTTTTAGTAAATATATAAACACGTACATATGTACATGCATTTGTGTTTAGACTAATTTGTCTGCTGGGCAAAATTAGTTTATTTAAAAAAATTCTGGGAAATATCTATTCCAGTCTTTGTTTACTTTTCGTTGGGGGAATGCCCGCGTCTGAAATTCCAACGAGTCAGTAAGAGTATGCCAGAATCGTGTTAGAGACCTCGAGTTCGAATTCGGAGGCTTTATCTCTGCCAAGGGTAATTCAAATTGTCGCCGACGAAACAATGAGTGTGCGGGAAGGTAGGAAGCGCCCGGAGTGAAGCCGCCGACTTGAGGGACCCCTTCACGAATCGATTGCTATTTATGTTTTATGAGACGTAAAATGATTGAGCCAAACGGAAGGCGGCAATCCAAAAAATGCCAAATAAAAGGCGGCTGTGGCGGTGTGGGGCCGCGTGGCGGAGATAGGAGGCAGAACTGGGCCCGAGACAGCTGCAAAAGTTTATCGCCAAGGCAGACCGCATTAAATGCGGGACACACGCTCATTCACGCACTTTACGTTCGTCCGCATCTTGACGTAAGATAAAGGCGTATTGCGTATACGCCTAGTGTGCACTGCTCGGGGAGGATGTCCGCTATCAGGAAAAGCGTTTGTCTGACGTTGATGTGGGACAGGCGCAGGCGGAGGGGGACGAGGTGGCCTGGGTGGAGGGAAAAGCGTGTAAATTACAGCCGCCATACAGCCACCCAGTTCCCCGCTTTTTTGGGCCTGGGTTCTCTCCTTTTTTTCGGCTGCCTTTGTGTATCTTGAAAAGTTTGGCGTGTGTTGTTGTCATGACGGCTATCATCTTAACTTGATGTGGTGTTAAGCATTGTTGGTGTTGTTGTTGCACTTGAAATGATGAACTGACAGATTTCAGAGTGCCACTGCCCCCATGCTCCCTCTCTTATGTTTTGTGTACTTTCCTTTAAGTTTCTTTAAGACTGACCCGAGACCGAAATCGTAATTGAAAATTCCGTTTCACTAATTAATCTTAATTAGTAGACTCCGTCTTGTCCACTGCCATCGATCAAACAAATTCCACGCACACGCCTAGTGGGTTATTGTAACGCTAATGACTAAATAATTGATCGGAAAGTAATCCCGGCTGAGAAGCGTTTTAATTTTTTCTAGACCAAAAATTCCGCTAAGCGGCTTATGGTCTCGCATGCGAGTGTCCTTGTGTGTGTCCCTATGTGTGTCTGCCGGGCTAAGTGAATAAAAATCTTTTTGCACAATTCATTAAACGCAAATTATGCCCCAGAGATAGTCCCCACGGTGATGGTACTGCATTGTGGCTGTCTTTGTGCCTTTTTTCGCATTTGTTTCCCCAACACACGCGAGCCATGCGAAATTAATATCCACTCCACAGTCCCAAAAAGGATTCCCACACACACGCGCAGGAATACAATGTCCTTTGATAGACCGGGAGGGAGAGAAAAAGTGCTGCGGGATACAATGAACCTGAAGGGCAGCAAAAAAGCATGCCACCGCACCAAGGTAATAAAGCGGGCCTCCTTTTTTCGCCAACACCTGCCACTTTCCACTCGCCACTCACTACTCACACCCACCACACAACGTTGTTGTTGTAGCGGCGCCTAACAAAACTTTCACCCGCCGGGACAGGAAATGGTCACGATATAGATAAATACAAGTTGACGGCACAATTTATTGTCACACTTAGCGCCCAGGCGAAATGCTATTGTTATGTAAAAGAGCCGAATACCGGGCGGACTACTTTCTGACATTGCGTATACGCAACGTTGGCAGCCACATCGAAACGCATTCGCATTGACGTCACATGCACTGCGTGTTTGCACAAGTGTGAGTGAGTATGAGGGTGCGTGTTCCAGTGTATGTGAGTGGATTTTCCGACAGCAGGTGTACCTATTGCGTTGCAAGCTACACTTTAAAGTTTACCCAACAAGAAAAAAAGAAAATTCACTCTTGAAATACGCTTTTGAACTTTTCAAATGTAATATTTCAATATGTAAAAAATCCTACCTAAAATTAATGTAAAACATAAAAACTGGTTTGAATTTAAGTGTGGTTTTGAGAAATAATTGTTAAAACTTATTTTATATTATTATTTATTATTTAGGGTTTGAGATTCCAACTTCAGGTATTAAATTTAGCTTTTTTAGAGGATAAATATGTATATGTAACCTTAATATTATAAACGAATTTTTTGAAATTTTATAAAAATTTGGACCTTAAAAACGCAAAAAATTTTTTTCATCTTTTGACAGCGTTAGTCTTTTTTCGTTCTAAGAAGTAAAAAATTTACTTTATTTGTCTTGGTGGCGGTGGGCAAATCTCAACGTTATCGTCTTAAATCTTCATTATGCTTAAGCTTATATTGCAACAGTGCTTTTCGTTAAAAATATTCACAAGGTGTACTTATTTAGAATTTTAACTATGCTTAGGTATATTTTGTAGAAGCAAAAAGCTTAAACAAATAATTTACAAACTCTTTATTTTACTTTAATAAATCTAAGACTTTACTATTGTTTATTGTTCACTGTACAAACAATTTAAGACTATTAGAATTTTTCTAGGTGTTCCAGTTCTTTTGCCGAGCTGTCATTGTGCCCATCGTGCAGTGGGCACGTGCGAGGATAAGCAGTCCGGCGTCGTCTGAAGGACACGCAGCTCCTGCTACTGCTCCTGGTTCTGGTCTTGTTTGGTATGAGTGTGTGGGTAAGTGCGTTGGGAATGGAAATGGTTTTATTGCAGCCTGGCCATGCAATATGTATAAGCTGATTGCTGGCAAAAAAGAGCCGAGGAACAAACAACCGACACAATTACGGCGGCAATCTTAAACGATCATTGACAGCCTCCGGACTGCGGACTGTGGACCCCAAACTGTGGACTCCGGAACACTCCTATTGCCCGTGGGGTCAGAGCCGTAACTATTTTTCAACAGGTAGGACTACCCTTGCACCGCTCCTCGCCATTGTTGTCTTTGCATGTCAAAGGCCTGGCCCAAAGATAAAAGCTCAAATTGAAATTCCAATCGGGTGCTCTGCACTCTGGATATGGCCGTTCTATGGGTTCTTCGGTTTGCTTTTTATTCGCCTTTTGTTGCCCCAGTCGCCGGTCGTCAGTCGTTGTTCTTGTTTATTGAAACAACGGAGCAACAATAAATTTTGCAGCGCATACTTCAGATGTCAAATGCGGCAGCGATAAAAATTTCTTTATTGTGCCACAGCCAAGCGCACACACATGCCACATCTGCCACAAGTAGTCAGAGTGTGTGCGGCTATAGGAATTGCTTTGGCCCATTGCATTCCCCTTTTGGCCAGCTCGAGCTCGGACTTTTCAAACCGTTTTGGCTTTGACAGTTTTTTGCAATTTATATTTATTTCAAGGGCTGCACAAACCGCCCGATACGCATAAGTAATCCCTAGAACCCATCCCATCCCGTTCCTGACCCTGCATAAATTAAGATAATCGCGTTTACTCCTAGTTTCCTTACGTCCAAGTTTCGGTCTCAGTTTCGATTTCGGCTCCGGCTGTCAGATCCTCGAATGCATAATTTATGGTGCCACGAAGTGGCGGAACCTTTCAACCATCCGGGACTTTAATTTTGTGTAATTGAACTCCAGCTGCGGTATTCCCATAATCAATGTCGACAACTTCAATGGGTTGATGATGTCGAGCTGTCCGCTTAATGAGTTAATGGCCTAGCCGCCCGTTGGCCAAGCTGACTGCTACACTAAGCGAAATGGATTATTAAAAATTAAACGTATTTTCTAAGGGGGATAGTAGACTTAGAGATAAATTGATACATTTCAGGGAAAACAGACCCAGCTTTGCTTTTTTCCGTAAACTCTTGCAAAACTGGAAAGACAAACAATTTTTCGCTGGTGTCCTTCTAATCTGGGTCAGCGGTTGACAGGAAATTAAATCTGCTGGCCATTAAAACCCGTTGGCTCTTTGGAACTCCCTGGGAGGCCATGTTCGTTCGATCATTGAATTGCAATTCCAAAATGGAACTTCCCGACTAGAACCGGACAGGACCAGCAAGGGATTATTTGCATAAGTATGTTGCAGGGTCCTGGCGATGGAGTCTATTGGAGCACGTGCTGTCCATGCTTAAGCACACATTGTGGTCTCGGCCAGCCCCTCAGCCGAGCCTCTGACCTTTGGCCGAAACATGTCGGACCTTGGTCTGGACTGGTTATTATTTTAATGGCTATCCGAAGTGGCTGCTGCTGTTACTGCTATTGGCAATGACCAGGCCATGATTTTAATGCCAATTTAATATAATTTTTATGCTCGGCCCTTGGCCAATGGCCAATAGCCAGGCTCTAAATACGTGCCGACTTGAACCAAATCGAATGCCACCCAAATTGCCACAATGATTTGGCATATTTACTCGTGAGCCCCGGGAAAATGCCGGCATAATATGTCGGAGATATTAAACGGAAATCGATCGATGGGAGCTCAGAATGACAGGGAGCTGAGACTGCTTTTTCACATTTTCTTTTAGGCCACAAATAAAGCCGAATAATTTATGCCGGAAAATATATTTTCTTGCGACCACAAGGCTGGAATAATTATTGAAGTCGAATGTAAGTTGGACCTTTTTCCATGCTAATTAAAGGCGGATGAAAACAAAAAAAAGTAACATTGTCCCTCCTCAAGAAGCTGAGTGCAAATTGACAAACTTTTCCCAAAACTTTTCGAGTGGCAAGTGGCAACTGGTGGCAGCGGAGGCAACAACATGTGGATGGAGCATTTTTTAATTAAAAATTTCTCACATAAGAGTACAGCCAGTTTCCAGTTCCGTGAGCCAGTTCCACTTGTAGTTAGTTTCCACTGTAATTAGCCCAGTTGGTACTCGAATCCAGCCACAGTGTTCCCCCTCCACTAATTAACATATCCATTCCGCCAATTACCGCCTCGAACTTCATCCGTCTGAGGAGTTTATTTCAGCAAAAAGTTACTCACTTAGAAAGCCAGTAATTTTTCATCGGCTTTACCAATCCAACAGGTTCAGGGGAGAAACTTTAGTGGAAAAACTTATAAAATAGCAATAGAAATTTCTGATCTATATAGGACAATACAATACCTTTGATGATGGCGAACGGATAATCCATTTTCATCAAACAACAATTTGGTTAAGAATTTCAAGAAGCTTGATTTATTCATTTTATCGTTTATACTTCTTTCGTTAGGTTGGGAAATGATTTCTCACCTATCTGTTTGAGTAAATGACAAAGGTTATATTTTTAAACCATTTCCACTTTAAGGCTCTCGGCTACCTTAGGGGTTTCCCGTTCGTTATAAGGAGGTGGCTTGACACTTGTGACATCCTCTGAATGTTCTTCCACTTTGGTCAAGCTGACGTTAATACGATAAATCCACAACATCAGCCCAATGTGGAGAACACCTTAAGAAACATTACGATTAAAATAAATTTTTAAAAGAAAAGAATAAGTAAAACTAACCTGCGCATGCAAGTGGTAGCACGAGGTACGGAATGTAACTTCTGTAAAATTGATTATTAACCAGGTTGATCGTTGTGGCCAAAAAGACTACCGATGACAGTAGCCAAAAAATTTGAATCTTTATCCTGTGATCCTTTTTCGCCGCCACAGCGCCGAATACCAACAACGCAGAGGCAGATGCCATCAGAACTTTGCCAAATCTGGCCGAAGGTTCCTTATCTATAGGGATAAGGTCCTTAAAACTAAAACTAACAGCAAAAGATTCGTCTTACAGTCATCCAATATGAGACCACCACTAGCCGAAAAGACCAATAATACTAGGCCAATGGCCGCTTCTATTTTTTGTTCTTTGTCCAACATTACTCTGAAGCAGATCATTCCGAACTGAATCGATTCATAGAAGTTCCTTCTTCGCCAAAATCAAATTCTTAAAAGTAAACAAAAAATGGTTTTCTGTAAACAGAGACCCAGAGTACATACCCAAAAACACTTTAAAGAAGAGTTGATTCAGTTTGTGAACCGGAATGTCGTAGGGCAACTAAATGAATGAATAACTAATTTGAATACATATTCACATACACGCACTCAGAAACGCATTCATGTTTATTTGATGGATGAACTTTTCGACACTTTGTGCATTAGAAAGTTTTCCTAGTTTGGACTTTAGTGGCAATTATATTTACATTCAGCCAGCTTTCTGGCCCTGGCTCTCGTCCTGGCTCTAGCTCTGACTCTTTGGCTCGGAGCACTTAGGTAGTTCGGCTTTGACGCCTCGACCCGGCTTAAACAGGTGCCAAACAGGTTTGTGAAGATTCCCGGGCCAAAAACTTTTCCAACTTTGAGTTTTTAATTAGAATTTGTTTCCACCACCGGAAGGAATGCTCTAACATTGCCACGGGACATCCTTAAATGCAAGTTATCCATAAATAACGCACTTCCCAGCACATTCCTTCGAGCATTGAGTGGATAATTTATGAATATTTTCTAATTAACAGGCGAGAAATTTATCATAAATTTTCATCTAATTGCATTTTTATGGCATCAAGTTTTAGGCATCTCTCCTCAAAGCCATTATAAATAAACGTGACTTTTGGGAGGATGGGTGGACATATAACTCAGTTTGTTTTGTCAAGCAGTTGATTCTCTGAAACAAGTACTAATAGGTATCGCCCAGTCGATTTCCCGAAAATTCTCCAAGCTTGTTTATTTTTAGAGAGTGTATTTTCAGAGGGGATTTTTTCGGGGGCTCTCTGCTTGTCTGTGGCCTGATTGTATATTAATTTGGTAGTTTATTGGGCGTGAATATGAAAATTGCAATGAACTTTGGCCATTAGGTGCGCAGTTATTCGTCTTTCGGATGATTCATGTTGTCAGAAGTTGAGGCAACGCCCTTTTTTCGCGAAACTGATTCGAAAACTTGGCCTTGTGGCCCTGTTTCCCCGTGGCTCTGTGCTCTTGCGGGCCTTTGGCAATCAAAGCCATGAAAGTACAGTGTCAAGCTGAGTGCGGTGAAATGTTGCTCATTTATTTCATTTAAATGCGCATTTAAATCTATTTAAAACTCCACATGAGCCAGCCAGCCAGCCAGTCGCTCAGTTAGTCAGCCCCAAAAGCCGCACAGTATGGCCAAAAAAAAAAATGGGAACATAAAGGGCAAATAAAAGGCAACTGACAAGAGGACTGTCTCCAGTTGAGGGACTTTCTCTCGCTTGCCTCGTCCTTCGTCCTGTGTCCTTACCGCTCAGCATGATTTAACGATAATGAAGGTATTTACGAGTTTAGCCTTAGCCTGGGAACACCCAGCCAGTGAGTCCTGTGCAGAAGCCAAAGCCAAAGTGAAGGCAAAAGCAAAACTCATCATAATCCAAAGCCGGCAAAAGGTTATCCCGAAAAAAAAAAAACCACAGGCACACATTTGGGCTCTGACTCTGACTTGTTGTATCTACGTGTGTCCTGGCACTTGCGAGATGTTCCTGGCAAACTTTTTTGTTGACGCCGTTGATAAGGACACCAAAAACAACGACAACTACTCAAAGCCAGCTCAGATTCAAAGCCAAAGCCGGTGGCCCACTCCTAGCCTTAGCCAGAACCTGAATCCAAATCTGAGCCGTAGGCTCTATATACGTGTATTTATGGATACACGATATGAGGCATTCTGGCATGATGTATGAGCTGGCTAGGCAGGGCACATTGCTTGCCAATAAAACTCAATTTGCCATAAAATTGTTTCACAGTCAACATAATTACAACAGCAGCGGCATAAATTTGATTTTCCAATTTACGATTAGGCGTCGCACAATTTTCAGTGCCTTTTAATATTCGAGCTGCGAGTTACTGGCTTCTGAATACCAAAATATGCACAAAAATATTAATATCTAAGCCAGTCAAATTTAATCTTATTTCTGGAGGCAAACACCTTTCGTTCATCACCTCCTTGCAGCCTCGTTTCCACTCACTTACATGCAATTTTTATTACACTCCCGCTCCTGGCGTTGCTCCTGCTCCTTCCATCTACGGCACGGAGATCCACTTGCCAGTGCGCGGATTTTATTGTCCTGCCAAGGCTGAAGGACCAGGCCAATGCCACCTGGAAAGGGGGATGCTGTGCCACGGAGCTTACTGCTAGTTAGCGGGAACAAAAGCAACTTAACCTGGCCAAAATCGCCTTATGCGGTGGCCGACCTTCACTGCGAGGGGTTGTCTTTTACACAAAGAGAAATGGTCTGATATTTCAAATATAAATTGTCCATAAAAGCTTGTTTTATGTAAGTCTTTTAATAACTAAAAGCTTTTATTTATCGTTTGAATTTATTGGTTAAAACCTTAAAGGCCAAAACAAAATGTATGTCACAGTGTCCTTCCATTCACTGCCATCAAGTGCAATTCGTCACAAAATTTGTCGCTGGGGAAAAGTTTGGAATTATGAAAATGAACCAAAGTGGGTGGCAAGTTAATTGCACGTCCTTGGAATGCTCTCAGAATCGAAGTAGAGGGTAGGGGTTCGAAAAAGTGGAAAACAAATGAAATGGAAACACCAACCAGCCCTCAAAGACAATGGCTTACTTACGGTTCGTTTTAACGTGCCTGGGACGGTTCTTTCGGTTGGTATTTTGGCAGTTGGCCAGAATGCATCTGAGCCCAGGCAAGGAAATCCCCAGCTGATTGGCGCTTTGCTTTGAGGCGTTGCATTATTCGAATAATCGCAATCACCAGAAATGCACCGGCATACGTTGCGTATACGCAATGTTATCCAGAAATGGCTCCCAGGCATTGCTCAGTGCGTTTTCCCAGTTCGCCTCGTTTGTGTTGCACATTTTCAATTATAATTATTAACGGATTGTTGTTCGACTTTGTTTGAGTGGGATTCGGGGCGGGCAGGAGGGGATTGTTGGGTGTTGTGGGAATTGTTTGCATTTGCAGGCATTTGTTTTGTTTTTTGCTTCTGTTTGGCGAAATCACCTGAGTAATGCACTTGATGCTTGCGCAATTTCCCTTTCTGCATTCTGCATTGTCCTTGCGCGTTCTTCATTTATTTTTTTGATATTTCTGTATATTTTTTTTGTACTTTAGCAACCTGCCCCCTTGCTTGTCGATGGGTTTTTGTTGTTTTAAGTGGTTGTAGCCGAGGCTGGGCACTTGTAGTTGCGATTGCTGTTCTCCCTCCAGTCCGCCAGCGGCAACTTTTAACATTTAATGATGCTGCTTTGTATTTTAATACGCTTTGCTTGCTTGGCATGCTCATGCTCATGCTCTTCCTGCTGCCTCCTGCCACCCACCGAGCACCCTTTCTCCACCCAACCACCTCCTCCTGGCTCTCTGGCCAGCACGTGCCATAAGCAGCGCTTTGAAAACTTTTAAGTAGACAAGCAATGTCCCCATTCCCCCACGTCCTTTCTCCCTGTCTCTACCTTTCTTTACTACTTTCTCTCTTTCAACATCTTCTATTACTCGTCCTGCCTTTTGCGCTTTAAGCTGTCGGTTCAGTTCCAATCTTTCCACCAGCCTGCCAAGGTGTTTGAAGCAATTTGCGTCGCCCGTCTCATGTTGCACAGTTCTCCTCTTCCTCTTTGTCGCTCTCTCTCACTCCCGTGTCCGGTTGTCCTAGCCGCCACGTCCTTGACAACAAGTCCTACACCTCCTGGCATCCACAGGCAAGACTCTGCTCCTCTTCACCGGCTTTGATCCTTCGTGGCGTGCGGTGTGCAGATTGCGCCAATTTCAACCTGTTGCCAACAGCGGCAGCTGACAATACAAATGCATGGAAATTACTCGAAAAGCTATACTCAATATTATATTTCCCATTTTTCATCAATAGTTTGTGGTATACTGGGACATTCACTTGGTTTATGAGGAGTATTTGAAAGAATGTTCTAGATTTTATTATGTGTTTTAGTAGATAATATATTTTTTTAAACCTTTTATAATTTGTGATAGAACTGAATTTTTAAATATATTTTATCAAAACAATAACATGAAGTTTGCAATTTGAATCTTTGAACCCACAACTCTTATTAGAAAAATATTTTTGAGCTTAAAAAAACATTATATTTAAAGAAAAAGTAAACCTTACAGTTAACTTAAAAATGATTTATTTTTAATAAATTTTAATTTCTTTCAGTGCCATTAGAATCATATGGGAAAAGTTTCACGAAGGTTTCTGTGGTGGGGACCTTAATTTTTAGGAGGCCAGCCACCTTCTGGCCAAGTATTTTTCACTGAGCCACAAATGAACTGAATGTTGTGAGCCTGCCTGCTTTTAATGAATTTCCAATTTAACTTGGCCGCAGCTCAAATGCATTTTAAATCACACTCGCAACCCGCATCCAAACGTTGCAGAAATGAAATCAGTGGAAAGTTTGCACCATTTCCAAAATCACAAAGTAATTGCAATTCGAGCTGCAAGAATTTGCGAACAATTTACGAAATTAAGTTTCAGACAAAGTTCCCGAAAGGTTTAATACGCCCGCTGACTAGTGGGCGTTGAAGGCGTGATAGGGGTGGCCTTTGGTCCAAGCTCGACGGGCCACTAACAACTTTTTGGAAGAAGGCCCTTGGAAGTAAGGAACAAAGTTCCTGTTTTCCTGAACCGTTTAAACCGATTGCCATTTTCGTGCTGGGGTCAATCAGCATCACGCCGGAAAATGCAGCAAGCCCCGGAGACAGCAGGCGGGGGGCGAGAAGGGAAAATGCAAATGACAGTGCATGGAACACATAGTCATTACAAATTAATTTCACACGTGAGTAAGTCGCACTGGCAGCAGATGAAACATCAGCTCGGGCTGAGGAAAATCAGCCAAGACATTTCAGGCTGAACAGCAGGGAAGCGATGGGGGAAAGCTGGGAAATTGGGAGCTGCTATGGCAGCACA